GTTTGATATTATTTAATTTTTTAAATGCAAAGTGTTAATAATAGGTTCATCGATTAGATCAAATATCTGTTGAGGCATTCGAGTAAATGTAACTGTACGATTTGTATTGTAAAATGCGTTTAGAAAAAGCCTCACAGCAGAGTTTAGGGCATGAAGAAAGAAGAGGCATTATGCCGAAGAGGCCCCCACATATTTGTGGTATCAAGTGGGCAACTACTAAACTATTGAGTTATTTTCAAAGGTTCAACAACAAGTTCGAACTTTTCGAGAATAGCTCTCTAGTCATATTTTATATTATATTATATTGCATTCTTGCTTGTCATTAATTTGTAGTTGTAATTGGAGATGATGRACCATTCCATCTCCTTGGGACACCAAATTCGTGTCTATATCGTCAAAAAAGTGCACATGTTTTTAGTTAATTCGAGTCAAAAATTTGAAAATTTTCGTATTATTAAATTTTGAAGTTTAAATAACATTCGGTAAATATTGCAGTAATTTCTTTTTTCTTGTTTCATCTTTATAATTTTTCATTTTGATCATATTTTATTAAATTTGCAATTTTTCTTTTCTATATAATACAGCTTAAAAGTATTTCATAATAATTAATAGATATTATTTTTTATAGTAACTTAATATTTGTACTTTTCTTTTTTTTATATATATATATATTTTTTTTCTGTAAGTGTAAAATCACGCGTTTAAAATTAATTTTCATTGCATCAATTAATAGAGATTTGATAAAAGTAAATAGAGAATTTAATTGAAAAGTGCATCTGCGAATTGGACGATTTATATGTCAGGCTATTGTATAACTTAATTGCATATTAATATAGTTTTCTTTTGTTTACAGGTGATCATCGTTGGATTTATCATCTACTCGTTTTGATATTCTTCTACTTTTTAAAATATATATGTATAAAAAATGCATTTCTGAAGGCACACACGTATTTAAATACTAAAAATTAAACATAATTATTTTATATTTTCTTACAATATGACTATACTATATATACTATCAAAGAATATTGTATTCTTTGATAGTATTGTACCGTCATCGCAGTAAGTACCTACTATCGACCTCTGGTGGTTTCGGTAGTAACTAAAATGGAACTGAATAGATAAAAAAGGGAGCTTGTAAACTTCTATGTAATTCTGCATTCTTTGGTTCTACATTACCGGATAGTACCTTACATTACCGAATAATAACACTGTGATTATGTGTTGTCAAGCATTGTTTTAAATATTTTTCACAATTCTATTTATTCTTGTGGCTTTTAATAGTGCTTATTGTAATTGACACAATTAAAAATGATTGAACGAAAAGATAACGAGGGAAATTTGTATAGTTTTGTAAGTATTTTAATATATTTAATATAAATTAGAAGGATTAAAATAAAATTGAGGTTAATTAATAAAACTAACATTACAGAATGATGAAGATTTACCTTATGAAGAGGAAATTTTACGGAATCCTTATTCCGTAAAACATTGGCAACGTTATATTGACCATTTAAAAAATACTAAAAGTAATAACTTAAATATGGTTTATGAACGTGCTTTAACAGAACTTCCTGGAAGGTAACTTAATCTATTATATTTATTTAATATAGTATTTTATTATTTAAGAAAGTGGGAGAACTACATAATTTTTATATTGTTACATTTACAGCTACAAATTGTGGTACAACTATCTTCGACACCGATTAAGACAGTTAAAGAAAAGATGTATAACGGATCCCCTTTACGAAGATGTGAATAATGCATTTGAAAGAGCTTTGGTATTTATGCATAAAATGCCACGTATTTGGATGGATTATTGTATACTAATGACGAAACAATGCTACATTACACGTACTCGTCAAGTATTTGACCGTTCTCTTAGAGCGCTTCCTATTACACAGCATCATCGTATTTGGCCACTTTATATAGACTTTTTAAAAAAACATAATGTTTACGAAACATCTGTCAGGGTATTTAGACGATATTTGAAGGTAAAATTTGATAATATTTTTATCTTTAAATGATAAATGCTTGAAACGAATTAAGATTTTAAATTCGTGTTATAGTTGGCACCAGAAGACACTGAAGAATATATAGAATACTTAATATCCATTGGAAGACTTGACGAAGCGGCTATTAAACTTGCACAGATAGTCAATCAAGATGATTTTGTATCAAAACATGGAAAATCTAATCATCAGTTGTGGAACGAATTGTGTAATTTGATATCTAAAAATCCTTCTAAAATAAAATCTCTTAATGTCGACGCTATCATTAGAGGTGGTTTAAGGAGATACACTGATCAATTAGGACCACTGTGGAACTCATTGGCTGATTATTATGTTCGCAGTGGTCTCTTTGAAAGAGTAATTATTTATTAATATTTATATATAATTATTAAAATAAAAATATATTTATTTTTCATAATATATTGATATTTTGTTTTATAGGCAAGAGATATTTATGAAGAAGCGATACAAACGGTAACGACTGTCAGAGACTTTACGCAAGTTTTTGATGCATATGCACAATTTGAAGAATTAAGTCTCAGTAAATGTATCGAAAATGAAACGATGATTGCAACCGAAGATGGTGAATATATTAAACAATTAAAAAGTATCAATCTATTATATAAAGTAATTAATTTTTTATTTTCAAATGTATAGGTAATATTGAACTAGAGTTGCGTTTAGCAAGATTTGAACATCTCATGGAAAGGAGATTGTTATTACTGAATTCAGTATTATTAAGACAAAATCCTCATAATGTACAAGAGTGGCATAAGAGAGTTAAACTTTACGAAGGACAACCGCACGAGGTAAGAAAATAAAATAAGTTTACACGTAATTATCAAAAATGAAATATTTTTAAATAATGTATTTATAGATAATTAATACATACACTGAAGCAGTACAAACCGTACAACCACAATTAGCAGTCGGCAAGTTACATACTTTGTGGGTTGCATTTGGCAAGTTTTATGAAGAAAATAATCAAATAGCAGATGCTAGAGTAATTTTTGAAAGAGCTACTCATGTTCCTTATACTAAGGTGGATGATTTAGCATCAGTGTGGTGTGAATGGGCAGAAATGGAGATTAGACATGGGTAAGAATTTGATTTTTTTATATCTAAAAGTCTTTAAATAAATTAAAATTATATTAGATAATAATAGAATTATTTATTTTCTTCTTTTAGAAATTCTAAAGAGGCGTTGAAGCTTATGCATCGTGCTACCGCCATGCCATTCCGTAAAGTTTCCTATCATGATGAGAATGAAACTGTACAAATGAGATTGTACAAATCTTTAAAAGTATGGTCCATGTATGCTGATTTAGAAGAAAGTTTTGGTACATTCAAGGTATATAAATTCTATTAAAAACATATTTTAATAAAATAATGTCAATTTGTTTTTAATTTTATACGAATGTTTTTTTTTTAACAGACGTGCAAGGCTGTATATGATAAAATAATAGATCTAAAAATAGCCACACCTCAAATTATTATTAATTATGGTTTGTTCTTAGAAGAAAATAATTACTTCGAGGAAGCTTTTAGGGTAAATATTATTGTTATTAAAATTTTCTTTTCTTTTTTATAGTTAGATACATTATTTATATCTTTTTTATATACAGGCATATGAGAAAGGAATTGCACTCTTTAAATGGCCTAACGTATATGACGTATGGAATACATATCTCACTAAATTTTTGAAACGATATGGTGGAACAAAATTGGAACGTACTCGTGATTTGTTTGAACAATGTTTAGAACACTGTCCTAGTAAATATGCTAAAGGTATCATATGAAATATTAATATAGTGAGTGATTGATTAACGAACAGTTCGGTAATGAATAGCACTTTTGAATGGATTATATTTGTTAATCGATCATCTACTGTATATTTTAAACAATTTGTACTTTTCCAAAATAATATAAGTGTGATATTTATTACATATATTTCTTTTTTTTTAGCATTATATTTATTGTATGCAAAATTAGAAGAAGAACATGGTTTGGCCAGACACGCAATGTCTGTCTACGAAAGAGCTACTAGTGCAGTTTTACCTGAAGAAAGATTTGAAGTAATTTTTTAATACCTTTTACATAAATATAATTTAATATATATTTATTTATTGATTTTTTATTTATTTACTTATTTATTTATAGATGTTTAACATATACATTAAGAAGGCTGCAGATATTTATGGTGTACCAAAAACTAGACAAATATATGAAAAAGCTATTGAAGTTCTTAACGATGAAAATACTAGAGAAATGTGTTTAAGATTTGCTGAAATGGAAACTAAATTAGGAGAAGTAGATAGAGCGAGAGCTATTTATGCACATTGCAGTCAAATATGCGATCCTAGGGTATGTTAATTAAATCAATTAGTTTATGCAATCCGAAAGATCATAATAATTGTATTAATACAATTTATATTTACTTTAAAGGTATCATCTAATTTTTGGAAAGTTTGGAAGGAATTTGAAGTACAACATGGAAATGAAGATACAATGCGTGAAATGCTTAGAATCAAACGTAGTGTACAAGCCATGTATAATACTCAAGTTAATATGATGTCTGCTCAAATGTTGAACAACGTCTCTGGTCAAGTATCTGGTGTACAGATCGATAGTATGCGTGCCCTAGATAACAAAATTTCTGGTAAATATTTGAAACAATTATGATAAATTGATTGTTTTTTATTATGTGAATTTATATTATTAAAATAATTAATTTTGTATTTTTGCAGAGACGGCTGCTCAAGCTGGATTGAAGGAAACTATTAAATTTGTACGCGGTATAACTGAAACTGATGGAAAAGAATCGTCACGTGTAAATAATCCGGATGAAATTGATATCGATATGGATGATGATAATGAAAACGAAGAAGAAGAAGAAGAAGAAGAAGAAATTGAAGAAGGTAAAATATCTTAAATTCTACCTATTTATCATTTAACTTTTATGTGTGATATTATTTTTTATAATATATAATTAAATGTGGTCTGTTCTTTTTAGAAATGTCTATTGAAAAACAAGTCATTCCATCGCAAGTATTTGGTAGCTTAAAAACAGCAGATAACGATGCAACTGAAGATGAATGAATAAATTGCAATTCATTTGTTGAAATATATAATGTTTATTTGAAGATATTAGAGCAACAAAATATTATATTAATATTTGCATATAATTTCGTATATAAGAATATACGAACATTTATACTACAACAACATTTATAATACAATTTAAATTACATTATGTCATTTAATGAGATCTTTAAAAAGCATTACTTTAAGACTGTTTTTTACCCCGCATAATAATATCGAAAATAGCAATGATAAAAATCGATTGTTATAAATAAAACTCTTATTCTAAAGATGAGGATTTAAGCATGGAAACAATTGATTCAATTTGTTTAAAAATTAAACAACTCAGAATTGTTTTACTTCTTGCGTTATTATTTATTTCATATTGCATTAAAGAATTATATAATCAATATATATATTGTTTGAAAAAAAAATACAAATAATTATCTTTTACCTAATGAAATTGTTTAAATAATAAAACAAAATATTGTAAAAGAAAAAAATGCAAAAAATCTTCCGGTACCGGGAATCGAACCCGAACCTCCTGGGTGAAAGCCAGGTATCCTAGCCATTAGACCATACCGGACAGATGAAAGAACCATGCATGTAAAAGCATAGAAATTTTTTTATCATATATGTATGTTAAATATATACATATAATCAAGTAAATATAATTCTTATATACTATTCATTATTAATACAAAGAGATCGTGTAACATATTAAAAATCGGTGTATTACGAATGAAACTAATATATAATTTGTTTACTCAATTATTTTAAGAAAGGTATATAATTTTAACATCAAATAAATCAATGATGTTTAAAAAATAAAAATAATTATATATTATATAATGAAATTTTTTAAACTAAGAAAACAGTAAAATAAAATATAAAAGAAAAAACTGCAAAAGTAATCTTCCGGTACCGGGAATCGAACCCGGACCTCCTGGGTGAGAGCCAGGTATCCTAGCCACTAGACCATACCGGATTGATAAGAACGGTTTATGTAAGTATACAAGTACACAATTTTTTTTATATATATATAAAACATTTATTCATGTATTTAATTGCAAGTTAACAATCACTCTTTTATTTATCCATTATTAATACAAAGAGATCGTAAATTTAAAAAAAATATATATTATAAATGAGATCTTAATGATTTGTAAATTCAATTATGAAAATATTAACATAAAAAATATATCAATATAGTTTTTATTAAAAATAATTTAAAATCATGAATGAATACAATTATAAAATTTATAGTTTTGATACTTCTATTTATAAAAATAAAATAAAATATATGTAGGTGTATGTATGTGGGATAAAAATTTAGAAATCAAATAATCTTTGTTGAAGCATTTGATTTTTTTGTATTTTAAAATTATTATCACATCAATTCCATCATCTTACATCTATAATTTTAGAAGCGAATAACTTCCAGTAATATTTTTATGACATTTCTTAACAAGAGAGACAAAACACATTAGAATTTGTTTCCTTTTTAAATTTAAATACTCTATTATTAAATATCTGAGATTAAATATATATTCCGATTTAATTTAGAAATTATAATTTGCAAACGAATATTAATAGACTGTTATCAGCAATATAAAATTACATACGATGTGACACTGATAATATCGTACATAATATATAGGCATATTACTATTAAATTAATAAAGACGACAATTTTAGTTTCATTCTCACACATAGGAATCTCAAAAACACAATGTTCATATTTATATAATATTATATAACATATTTAGGTGGATTTATAAAATGTAAATCATTATACACTTCTAAATTATCTATATCCGCGTGACTTTGAATAGTAGCATGTTCTTTGCGAATGCCTCCAAAAACAATTAACTCTCCTTTTCCCATAACAAGCGAATACAAAATTCTTTCATCAGGTCCCGACTGATCGATTTCCTTCAATGGAACCCAAGTGGCGCTACATTTATCACCAAATACTTTGCTTATATCCAAAATAAATATAGATAACGCGGTCTCCGTTCTTTTGGCAATTTTTGTTTGCAACTTTCTATTTCTTATCTTTTCTTCCATCTTTTTCAGATTTTCCAATTGCCGCTGTCGATTAATGCTCAAAGTATTGGTGGTCGGTTTATCACGAAACGCTGCCATGCTCAGTGCACTGTCACAACAAAATGGAACGATTCTAGAAAAATTTGATCTTCGCGATGGTGTATTACTCGCTCTACTTTGCGAGGATGATCTTGAGAAAGATCCATGTCGACCGTTAACATTTTCATCTGTATCTACATCCGTTCTGTGTCTTTGTTTGCTAAAAAAATAATACATATTCTTTATTTTTAAAAATATCATATATATAAATATAAGATTTATTAGATTGTTAAGTAACGCAAACCTTTCTTGCAAAGGAGATAAATCAGGAAATCTCCATGGTCTTTGACAAGCAACATTTTGCATTGCTATACTCATGTCATTTACTTTAGCACGTCGCTTGTTGTTACTTAATACGACGATATAATTTCCAATCTAACAAGTTAAAATTAAATATATTTATATAATGTTAAATTGATCAATAATGTTTCAGATAATCATAAATATAGATCACCTTGCAAGCTTGATGACACCAAATGCGGGCAGGTGCCCATTCTTGGTGATATAATGTTACTTTTCTCCATTTCCATGTTGGCTCAGTCATAGTTAATAACCAAGCATCATTCATAGCTGAATTAGGACCAGTACAACCTCCTAGCACAAGAAAATGCTTATCTCCTAAATAAATCTGTGATTGACCATGACGTGGTCTTGGTTTGATTATTGTTGTTGGTTGTTTATGCCAAACATATGTGTCCAAGTTTAAACACCATAAGTCATTAGAACTATCTCAAAAAAATTCAAATCATTAAAGTATTCAATTGAATTAACAAAATGTTTAATACGATATGATAAAAGTTGTTACCGAAGGCCACAATGAATACCACCAAATACAACCATATTATTTCCATGAATAGTTGCCGAATGAGCTGACATAGCCGGAGGTGTTTCTAAAGTATTAATAGCACTCCATTTATTTGTTTCTATAGAATAGACATGCAACTCGTTAAACAATTTCCATTCCTAAAAATAAAATATCATGAGTATAATGTATTACAATATGAAATAATGACAAGAAGTGTATTATTTGTACCTGATGTAGAGGATAACGAGAAGGATAAGACCACCCACCGAAAAGAATAAAATTCTTGTTGTAATACAACATAGTAGCGCAAGCTTTTGGAGATGGATAGCTGCCCATTGTGATTGGTCTGACCCAAGTCCTCGTATCTAAATCTAATCTCCACAAATCATTAAATGCAGTTAAAGTATCAGTACATCCTCCAAATACATACATTGAATTTTCATAGATACAAGCTGCATGAGAATGTCTTTTGCTAATCATATGGATTTGATTGTTTTTCGGGCAAAGATTCCAAACCAAAGCACCACATGATACAGCTTTACGGAAATGTGCCTCACTGTGGTCAATAACATCTGTAGTAAAATATATAATTCATAATTATTAGAGAATGCAATAAATACTTTATATAAACATTTTAATAATAATAATAATAAATACTCTTAGTCGCACGACACCATCTTTTAGAGACTAGTCTGCATTCTTGTAAATCTTTATAAGGAGGAATAAGACTTAGAATATATTCTAATAATTCATCCGGTAAATCATCTATTTTGCATTGCATTTTTGTTGATATGATTAAATCGTATTTGTTATTAATAATTAAATAGTTAATCAATTTTTTTCAGATTTTCTCTTGACAATATCAAAGACAATTTGACTAATGCAATACTATTATTAGAGATTAGAAAGCTCTTCACACTTCCTTAACAAATTTGTTAGATTATTTTATTGTTTTTATAGAATTTCTTCGCGCGAATGGTATACTCTCTTTTTTCTTCTATGTGTATATATATATATTTAATTTTAATTCAGCTTAGGCTACTTTTTTATGTATTTGTATAGTTAGGCTTAAACAACAATGATGTACATGTTATAGCACCATCATTATTCATAACATCAATTTTTTAATAATTATCAGCGATATATATATATCCAATTTAAAGAGAGACAATTAAATATTAATATAACATAAATATCGTAATGTCATAGTTAAACATAATTTTATTTAATATGATTTTATTTATTTTATCAAAATTTATTTTAATTTTATCACAGATTCAATAATTATTATGCGACACTAAGCACAAACTCCATAGAATTTAAATGACAGATGATTTGATATGACAGTTAACTTTGTTTCAGAAGGATAAACCCCCTTTACAAAATTAACGATTTTGTCAAGTCTGCATTAGATGCAAAATGAACTGATTGGTTCTTACGCGTTATATTCGTATTTCTTATTGGTCGAATTAACAGCAATCAGTATGCAATATGAATGCAATTTCTATGTTAAACAAACATGTAAATTATGTCACATATCAAATAATTTAATGATACTTATTTCATTTAGGATTTAAGACTATTTGCAAAGTTACTAAAAAAATATTAATCAGTATTCGTGAATATACCATTTCATTTTTGTAATTTGGTAACACTGAGGTCCCTACTATAAAAACACGATTTCAATATCTCAGAATAATAAATATTAAGAAGTAATTATAATAAGAATGTGTGAATAATTGTTTAACAGAATGACGGGCCAAGATATAACTGATCTTAATAAATCTTGTTTGCGTGAAAATTTAGTAAGTATACATATATATATATATATATGTGTGTATTTATAAAAATTTGTATAGTTCTAATAGAATTAGAATTAAAAATCCTATTTGGATCATAAGTTTTATATAAATGTCATTTACAATTTTAAAATTTCCGTTAATCGTACTTTGTACCATTACGCAATTGATATTTTATTTTAAATTGATTTATTCCATCTCTAATAATAGATTAATTTTTAAGATAAAAGCGGCTGTACAATTTTTTCAACATCCTGAAGTGTCAAGAGCTCCATTAAGTAAAAAACAGGAGTTTCTTAAAAGAAAGGGCTTGTCTGAAGAAGAAATAAAAAAAGCTTGCGAATTAGCTGGTGTTGATATTAATGAACAAAGAAGATTTGATAATCAAAATGAATATACAGCGATATCGATACCAGAAAGATCTCATTACCCGTACTTACATGTACAATCATATCAATTGACGTTGTTACAAAAAATTAAAGAATTTTTTAACGTCACTGCTGTGATCGGAGCTACGCTTTATTGTGTTTATTGGTTTTATAAGGTATATTATTATTTAAAAACTTTGACACAATTTACCTTTCGATGTAGTGTATTCCTCCTACAAAAGTAAGGTATCCAAATTCTTGATATTTATAGGAATTTATTGAACCATTTTTATTCGGGCGTAAGAAAAAAAATAGCATAACCGATACTGTTACCGAATTGGATATGGCTATACAAAGTTCTATTAAAGAAATGAAAGATTCTATTTCTAAGGTAGAGGTTGATGTAAAAAGATTATCGCAAAACCAATCAATTGATATAGCAATTCCACAGCTCGTACAAGAACTTAAACAAGAGCTATCTAGTCTGAAAGCGCTTCTTCTTTCGAGGTATATCTTGGCTATCAATATTATTTATTATATATTATTTTTAAGCTACATTAAATGTTATATTAATTACATTTTACTCTTTAAAACCATGACCATTGTACAAAACCTTATTATACATTTAATATTTTATTTGAATTATATTAAATGTTTATACTTTTCAATAGAAAACAGTTTCCCAGTGCTCCAGCATCTATTCCGTCATGGCAATTAAGTACAAGTACTGTTCAAGAAAAAACAACGGAAAGAGAAGACGATGCTGGAAGTGGAAGTAGCACTAATAATTCAGATAGTTCTTTGGAAATTGTACGAGACGAACCACCTAAAGATTAAAATATGAACAAAGATATTATTATTTACAGCTTCCATTAATTCACTTTCTTCCATCTTAAATGATTGGTCTTCAATGTGTATAAAATGTGCATTCTATAACACATTATAAAAAAGAGGTCAAAAATCTTGTTTTTTTATTTGTTTATATATATTTTTTCATTTAATTTTTGTATAAATGTAGTCTATATATATATATAATAT